AAAAACGAATCGATCTATCAATTTTTGGATGAACCAATGTTGCCTGAGCCAGAGAAAAAAAATATAAGTATCTATTTACTTGTTTTTATTCATATGACAGCATTTTTGTTAGTTGTATTTTCTATTTGGAATCATATATTAATATTTTATCGATACTTCTATCTTCCGTTTCATCGAGAAAAGGCTGCACAAATCTCATGAATCATTTTTTTTTGTTCTTTAAATGTTGTTATTTTGATATGTAAATAAATATTGTACTAAATAAAATTTTTCTAAAAAATAAATTGAATATGATTATATAAAGAATTCATGAATTATCTTCATCGAATTCAAATAATCGATCCACTGTTTATCTCAATTCGAAAACAAAATTAAAATTATTATACCTAAACATCATTATAAAATATTAATGTGAATACAGAAATTTATGTAAAGAGAACTATGATTTAAAAAAAGAGTATATCATTTCGCATTTCGAAATTCGGTTCTTCTTCAGTTCAACGACATCCCTACACTATTGATCAACTTAGACAAAGAACATCAAAGAGTGAGCAAGGGGGGATCAAACAATGTGAGTGCCGCGGTGTCGTTGATCGAAAGAAGTACCTAAATTTTTAATTTTAAAATTATTTTAAATAACAAAAAAAACAAAAACTCAAAACAAACAAAAAAGGATCATCGACCAGGGTGTGGGTGTGGGGTGTGGGTGTGGGTGTGTGAGTGGGATGTGGGTGTGGATGTGGATGTGATTGTTCTATTTGCATAACCACTCTCACACTGACACGCACATCCCACACCCACACCGCACACCCACACCCCATACCCACATCCACATCTCACACCCATATCCACACCTCATACCCACACCCCACACCCAAACCCACAACCCCTGGGTGAGTTCTATTTCGCCAAAAATTGCATTTATCTCGCAAAGCTATCTACAAATCACGTAAGTAGAATCGAAGTATGAACAAACAGACAAGATCTTGCGTGCGCAGAGCAAGGTTAAGAAGTCGATAGAGACATGTATCTTTTGTGTACCATTCAATAGCATCATTCGACTGGTAGGTTTTCATAAATACATTAATATCATTAACATATTGAGATGGATACTACCTATGGCAAAATGTAATGAAGTCATTTTTGGCATCTTGAGTTGTTGATTCACTGGTTTTTAGTAATATTTGTTTAAACATTGGATAGCAGGAAATACGAAAGGTATCATTCATTTGACTACTTAGACTACGCTGTGACATATTGGACAATCTTTGAAGAACCTGCGCTGGTTTGACACATCGACTTTCAAAAATTTGTACTGATCCAATGGCCGATATTACTAAATAAACGCTGGAATTCATCAATTGCTGTAAGATGAAAAAATGTTATGTTGCTATCGTCGCGCCATATTGTTGGCAGAAGATCAACGCTTTCCTGAACCGTAACTAGCATTATCTTTTCATTTTGACGTGTATTGAGATACGTTGTTAAGAGATCAACATCGGAATAAAATAGAACATATGGGTTGATCCTATGCAGTTGTTGTTTGATACGTTGTATATCGTCACTATCTATCACAATTTTAGTGTCGAACCAGATTATCGTTAACTCGTGTTGTTCACGTAAGATCCTATCTGGGCAAGCATTGAGAATTGAAGACGCTTCTTGAGGATAACGAATACGGTTGTGATCCAGAATGTTTCCTTCTGGATCAGTAAACGAAAGCAGAAATTTGTACAAACTTAAGTGATCCATAAACTGCAGTCGACGTTAGTGTGGAAGCGTATTCACTCTGTGTTTCGTTTCTTTTTATTCTAATGTGCGTGTGCGCAGCGTACGTATATGTTTAAATAAGTGTCACTCACAAATTGAAATTTTATTTTTTTTGCAGTTGTTGTCACGAACGCTGTTTCGTTTGCACGAAACACTCTACACTGGAAAAAGTACCATATTGGGTCTTTTTTTTTCAAAAATCTGAACCTGAAATAGATTTCGTAAAAACCTAAGATGTTCTCAGAATGATGTAAACGGCCGACGACACCTTTTGAAGTTTTCTAGCATTTCCAAGAGCCTTTTTTTGGTTTTGTACTGTTTTCAAAAATCTTTTTAGGATGTTTTGCAAGCATGGAACTCTATGTGAGTTCCAAATCATACTATTCTTTTCAGTGCACGTGGCTCAATCCTATTGAGCAAATTTGTGAAGTGATTCGAATCAGACAAGATTAAAGAGACGTATCCAAATTGCGTGGATTCTAAACTGTTCAAAACTTTGGAACTCAAAAATAAATTAGCTACAGAGATAGGATTGGTTCGACTCACTTCAGTTTGAAAATTTTCTGGTTCGGTTCGGTTTGATAAAAACGCAAACCGATCGCATTTATAACTAATAGTCTAATACATTTGTTAGCTTATTATAAGCTCATATATGTAATACTTGAAATTTGAATTAAAATATTTGCAACATTTAAGACCAATAGGGCAAAATCTTAGGGTGAGGGTTACGACAAAATTCTTTCAGGGGAGAAGGGCAAAATGCTATAGGGGTAGGTGAAAGTGAAGGACAAAATCCTTTGAGAGGAGATAGAAAGAATAAAATCATACAGATACAAGTCAGGGTAAGAGCAAAATCCCGTAGGTCTGACTGAGGATGTATGCCCATCCGAACCGTATACACTGAAAAAAAATGTTATCATACAGAACTTCGAAAAGGTTCCGAATTTTGCAACAAAATCAAACGTTTTTCAAGTTCTGTACAAAAATGGTTTCGTGTATACTTTTCATAATTCTCTGACTTTGTCAGATGGGTAAAGACAAACAAGTTTGAAATGATTTATTTTTTTTCTTTAAATTTCTTTTAGTTCTTTCTTTCTTCGTTTGATTCATAGTATTCTTGTTTACAATGTGACAGACAATAAAAGAAATTCAAACGTGTGCACCGTTGCTTCACTTAACTACAATATAAACTATTTCATGTAGGAAGTAGGTATTACACAATCTCTCACTTATCAAATCGAAGTGAGAACAGTAGATAGTATTATGAATAGGCAGAGACAGTATGATAAACAGATTGCTTTTCCTGTCATTAGAGAAATCACAAAATGCCATACTTTTAAATTCAAAAATCAATGTATTTCTGTCTACCCTGAAATTTCATCCACAGTGCAGTGGGAAAAGACAAAGAATTTTCATTTTCTACTGACTTCACTTTTGTTAAACAGCTCGATTTTTACTTCTTCGTTATAGTTTTCCAAAATATAAAAGTTTAACAATAATCACAATGTCGAATATGAATACGTCGGATGACGCATTACGATGTCCAATAACAATGGAATTATTTCGTGATCCAGTCTTAGCACCGGATGGTCATACATATGAGAGACAAGCAATCGAACAATGGATTCAAAGACATGGGACAAGTCCAATGACACGACGACCATTATCCATTGAACAGCTCTATTCGAATCGTACTGTGAAAGAACTTGTTGACAGTTTTGACATATTATTGCGCGAAAAAAATTCCCGATTTATATTAAATGTTGATGTGAAAAAAAAGAATGAGCGACCACTAGTTCAGACAATTAGAAAAACAATTTATGGTGCTGAATGGCTATCAAATAATAATAATAATCAATCAGAAATAATTCTATTAAAAATTGATGGTACTCGGGCAAGACATGAGGCATCTTTCTACATAGATTTAAGTCATCATCCGTATATCATTCGAACATTTGGTTTGGTATATGACAGAAACAATCTCGACCAAAAGGATGCAATTCTACTTTTACAAGAATACGCATCCGAAGGAAGTTTGTATGAATTATTACAGAAACGGAATAGAGTTCCTGATGAAAAAATTCTTATTCATATATTTCTACAAATTATTGAGGCAATGATATGGCTGGCATATAATCATGTCGTACATAGCAATTTAGCATGTCGTAATGTTCTAGTATTTAATTTTGATGAAAATCAACCACAAAAGACGGTTATGAAAATCACTGACTTTAGTCTTAGTCAATATAGTCAACTGTATCCAATGACATCAGATACGCCAAGAAAAACGTTGGACGTAATTCCTATACGATATGCAGCGCCAGAAGTACTTTCATCGAATGCAACATTGAATGTGTATACAGAAAAATCAGATATTTATTCGATGGGTGTGTTAATGTGGGAAGCATATTCTCGGGGGTCATTGCCATGGACCAACATTGAAAACGATAATGAAGTGATTCGACGAGTCAGCCATGGTGATTTATTATCTCAACCATCCAATTGTAGTCAATCCATTTGATCGATCATTATAAAAACATGGTCTACATCACCAAATGATCGTCCAACATTCAATGAATTGAAACAGTTTCTAAGCGAACAATACTATTGTTCAGGTAATTATTTATATTTATCCAAAACTATGATCCCGAATAGTTTGCCTCCTGATAATTTTTAGAAATATATCTCGTACCGTTGAAATGTGGTGCATAAATTACTAGACAGTATAGGCTCGTGCTCCCATATGCTAAATATTCCAGTTATAGGACTCATTATTTATGGCAATAAATGTCACAATGTAGGTCTCAACGTCATGCAGACATATTCGAAATTAGATGAAACGACTGAGTGGAAAAGTCGAAGATTTGACTTTTTAGCCGTTCCCCGCCTATATAACTGTCTCGAAATTAATTTTTGTGATTCCTTGTGACGGAAATCAACTATATAACGAAAGAACGGGGGCGCATTTGGTCGCCAATCCACCTGTCGAAATTTTTTCAACGGGACCCCTACTATCTTATATCAAATGTAAGATCTCGTTGAGATAAGAATTTTTGGTGACGGGACCAATTTTTTCTTCACGAATGAATAAAAAGTGTCAGCATGGTCAATATGCGATGTTTTTGGGTCTAAATTGCTTTTATGGCCAATATGATATAGTACACCTATTCGTATGATGACAAGAAGAAAAAAAGATTTTTTTTACTTCATCTAGTAGGCCATGCGGTCCTCTAACATTACTATAAATATCAGGTTTTTTGCTTTAGTCCTCCTGACTTTATAGTCGAAATATGACCCTCAGAAATCTCGAAAAACCGTCCTTAGACTGTTATACGCGTCCATTGCAGATCTTCGTTCTCTTTAACAGCAAGAGTAAACATCACCATCTTTTTATCATAAAGAGCCCTTTACATTAGCTACAAAGTTCACTTATTAGAATTAAAAAAAGGTTGGGGGAGGACATCTCATGGTGACCCATATCATATTGGTCATAAAAGCAATTTAGGTCCAAAAACATCGAATATTGACCATGCTGACACTTTTATTCACTCGTGAAGAAAAAATTGGCCCCGTCACCAAAAATGCTTATCTCAACGAGATCTTGCATTTGATATAAGATAGTAGGGGTCCCGTTGAAAAAATTTCGACAGGTGGATTGGTGACCAAATGCGCCCTTGTCATTGCAGCTTTTCTATTCAGTCGCTTTATCTAATTAGAATATTCTGCGTGAAGTTGAGACCGAGATTGTGGCATTTATTGCCATGAATAATGAGCCCTATTAACTTGAATAGTAAGCATCCGCGAGCATTAGCATATACTATCTATAATTTATGTACCACATCCTTTTATTGTGAGACAACATTTGATTAAATGTTCAGTTCAATATGGTCGACTGGCATCAAGATCGAGCCTACTTTGTATAAATAGCGAAAATACAATAACCTGAATAGCTCTTAACATAGTAAAGTTATGTATCTTATACTTACTCATCTTTTATTCTGGCGCCGACAATAGTTAGTGAGTAAGGGGTAACGGAAAAGTTGCAGATTGATCAAAGAAAACCTATTTTTCAAAAATTACGATATTCCATAAACTTTCATCAAAGTTTTTCGAGGTCGAGAATAAGTGTAGCGTTTTAACTCTCAAAACAATTTAATCATGAGAAAATCAAAGTTAAAGAGACATGTTGAAAGAAACCACCAATCAAATTTCAGATAAACTTTCTCTCTCTTTTATTGAACAACCTTAATTATAAAAGAGAAGAGACCTACTGCATTTTGATTAGTTGTTCTCTTCAGTTAATTAGATTGCAGCAGCCCTGTTCTCTCTTATAGTCGACGAAGAGCATTAGATGGTCTTTGTCAGAGGATAGATAGCATTGATAAACCCTTGATTGATAAAGCCAACTCTCCGGTGCATTCCGTCTATGAGAGAGAATAGATTTGCTGCAATCCGACTGAGTGTTTCCCCAGTAGATTTACTTTAATTTTCATTTTGTAGTCTTAAAGTGTTTTGAGAGTTAAAATGTGACACCTATTCTCGACCTTGAAAATTTTTGATGAAACGTATGTCATCAAAATTGCCTTACTTTTGGCAATTATTCGTGATTTTGATGGGATGGGAAAGTTGTAAAGTATCGAAATTTTTGAAAAACAGATTTTTTTTTTATTAAAACCACAATTTCTCTATTCACTGTACTCGGCAACGTTACGACAACCTTCTTCCACTAGTCATGTAACTATTATGGAGTGAAAAGTTATATAACACAAGACTCTGATCTACTTATTGTTCATATTCAATAAATTCAATCCCCTCGTTAGTCTTGTTAAATCTCTATTTGAAGGTACAATTTCACGATCGCATAACAAATCACACGCAGTCCAAGCCATAGCTGACGCATTTAATCAGTTAAAAACACACTTCAGCGACAAAAACTCGTTAACAGTGGCAAATAAGCCAAAAATAGCCATGAATTTGAATGTTCTCAAAAACAAACCGAGATTGACTATCCAGAAAAGAAGTGGTTTTGATTTTTTCCAAGGAATGACTGCGAATGATAAGTATTTACTTTATTGCCAAGAAGACAGTTATGTAGTAGTTGATCAAAAAGGAATTGAAAAATTGCCGAGGATCCAGCCTAGAATTCAGCATGTCCAAGATCTTTGTTGGTCATCATATTTAAATGCATTTGTTTTTCTATCATGGCATCCTGATTTTGGACTTTACTCAACAGATATAAATAATAGTAATTACACTCAACAACCAATGAAGCTAATTAAGAATTTTAGTGGAAAAGAGGCTAGCTGTTGTACATGTTATCAAAAAACATTTCTTGTATCTACTAAAGGTTATCCATCCATTATTGAAGAATATATAATGGGTAGTTGGCAATTGAACCGAGTATTTCAGCCACCAATTTCCTCCGCCGAAAATCAATTTATTACGAAAATGAAATACACAAGCGATGGTGCATATCTTGGTATCATTATGTTTACAAAAGACAGGTTAGAATACGAGATCTAGACTTTCTATTCAGCTATATGTCTTCTAGTCATGTCTACGCTTTGGTAATGAGGAATTTCTTTTCATATGGAGACGTTTCTTCTCCTTTTCGTCATCATACCTAGTCCAAAATCACATATTTTTATCCTTTTTGTGCTTATTTTCAAAGATACGGGAAAATTTTTCGAGTTGGGGTGTGGGTGTGTGGGTGTGAGTGCGGGTGGGTATTATTCTGTTTTAAACTTCCCCACAGAATAGAATCCCACCCTATAATAGAAGCGCAGTCTCGAGTCTATAATTTTCTGATATGATACAAGCCCACTCAAGGGTCCCCTCCCCCCTCAGAAATCAACTTTGTTATTTGTCATCCGATTTCAACCAAAATTTCAGAGAATGTTAGTCTTGGCTAGAATAGATTATGGTTAAAATATCTCCCGAAATCTGCGAGCCATTCACGAGTTATAGTCAATTAATTGATCAAAAATACCCTTTACGCGGGAAAGGTTTTCAACATGAGGATACTAGCTTAGCATGTCGGCGTGGTTTTTAAATTGTAGAGTACCCATAGGGCTAGGTCATAATAGAGTCCGATTTTTTAATTTCCCTTTGTTTGGTTTTTAAAAAAATCTTTTTGAAAAATTCTCAAATTCGTGGACAAAAAAATCGCTAATTAAAATAAAAGATCTAAGTTTTTTATTTAAACAAAGGAGAAATTCAAAAATCGGGCTCTATTACGACCTAGCCCTAAGCGTCTGCTCTATAACAAAAAAGCATTACCACTTTTATATTGAGTCGTTATTGAATAAGGTTTGCCCGCGCAAATAGTAAACTCGAAAAAATAGATTTTGAGAAAAACGGAAAATAAGTTTTTAAAAACCTTATTTTTTCAATATGAAGGTTCAGAAAATCGTATGTAATATCCTTAAATCTCATCATAAAATCAATCAACTATAGTACATTTGAGAGTAGACACTTTGCTCTATCTAACGAGTTATAAATCACAAAATCGATAAAATTGACCGAAATTAACTTTTCTGAGAGAGGGGACGTTAATTCGAAATGTGTACATACAGAGAAACGAAGAAGACAAATCATTTTGTTGAAAATATTCAACTCTTTGAATTAAATGTTCATGTACGTTGATCAATTTCTTGCGCTTTGTATATATTTTTGTTTTTGGACTAATAAACTTCATTCGTCAGCTGTGATACGTCAACAACTTATACTAAAAGAACTCTTTTTTTCGTGATTTTTTTTTCTGTTCGACGACAAAATTGTAAAACGTGTAGTATTTCCAGGGATGTCGCGAGCGGAAGAGTGACGCGGGCACCCCAACCTTTGAAAATTTCAATCATTTTTGCGTCATTTTTCAAAAATTTCCGAAAAAGTCGTCGAGCCTGCCCCCATCCCTTCTCGACACTCCAGAGTATTTGCCTTTGTGAAATTATCTCGAAACTTTTTGTAATAACAACATCGAGCTGTGACAATAAACGAAATTGCCGGGGATGGCGTAGTGGTTCTATGCATCTGATTATAGTTAGAGATCAGAAGGTTCGATCCGTTTCCCCTGGCATCGTGCATTCGGTGTCAAGATATATGGTATCGGAAGAATAAACAAAAGAAAAAGCAACGATGTACGCTACATCGTCATCATTGGCTCGAATTCGATTTTCATTCTGTTCGTTTTCATTTCTTTGTATTCTTTCTCTGTTTGTTATCATTATCCTGTCCGTTGCATACATTCGTAAGCGTCCACAAAAATTGTAAAAAATCTCCCAAAAAAAAAGTTATGGATGTCACGAATAAAATTTAGCATAATTATAAAAAAAATAAACGAAATTATGAAAGGCAATCAAGCTATAATTATCATTACTTTTAAAATTGTATAAATCGCTCCCTACATAATGGAAAAAGTTGATCGTAATAGAAGCCCACCCTTAAACTTGCAATTTTCAAAACAAATTAGAAGTCCAGTGGGCTTCTATTCTATGGGGAGTTTAGTTCATACTGCACACCCAT